TCTCTCTCTCTCTCTCTCTCTTTCTTTCGTTGCGGCTAGAGGGCATGCCCCTGCGCCCAGGCGGGCCCTCTCTCTCTCTCTCTCTCTCTGTCTGTCGTCGTCTTCTAAAGCAGACAAACCCTCTCAAAAAAACAACCAAGGTCAAGGCTGGGGCAGGGTGATCTGGCATGGGAAAAGGCGAGGCCTGGCGCACGCGACGTGAGCAGAGACACCGCTCCCTGGGTTTTTCGAAACATTCTGACCGATAAATAAACTGGTGCTTTTACGACTCTTGGGGGGATGAGATGCTGACTGTGTGTGGTATAGGTATGTGTGTGTGTTTATTCATAGGTTCAGTGGACGCCCCCCCCCCCCCAGGCTCAGAGTGCGGGAAGTCGGGTGGCTGTCTCAGACTCAACTTAAACTCCCTCGCCTCTCCATTTTCATCCAGCAGCAGCGGCATCCATTCTGGATGGTTGACGAGCTCGTTCATGACGGGTCCTGACAGGTGCCATTGTGTCAAGTCAATCGACATCAACATCACCTGAGCCAGGACGGGCAGACTCCACACAGAAATCGGCCTGTTCGCAAGCGACGGACATTCTCCTGACAGGGTTGGCGCGAATTGTCGGGTAACCCATCGCGTTCTCGATTCTCAGGCTTGCCACTCTGCTGCGCCACATTCGTGACACCTGCCTCGAGTCCCTGAACGCGAGCAGGTGTCACACCAGCCACCTTCTTGGAGTTCAGCCTTGCAGGATTTAAAGTGACGTTCCAAGTTAAATACGAGGGATCAGTAGGAACCCGGATCTGAATGCTACTGTAAGGCAAATAAGACTCACCGTCTTGGACACTAGCCTCAATACACCGACCCTCCGAGCGTCTAACCCAGGAAGGCATTTGCGGACGTCGACGCCATCGTACCTCAGTCTTTTTAATTACTGTAGCACCCAGCAAAGCTCGGCACGATTCAAGGCTCTCAAGGCATTCAAGGCTCAGAATATCTCAGAACACAGCACGGCCCAACCAAACGAGGTATCAAAAGGCTCTGGCTTCGCGATGAACTCGTCACAAGCTGCGGATGTTCGGAAATTGATGAAGCCATAGCCAACATTGCACCTGGCAAGTGTACCCTTTCCAGCGACTTCGACCGCTTGATCTGACGGCCAGTCCGCAAGTCTCCTTTGCAAGCCGTGCCGGCCGCGCTTGTTCTTAAAATCAATGGGCAAATAAACGAAATCAAATCGCCCTTTGAAGTCCTCACGGGGCACTGATCCATCACGTTTTCTCGGAAAAGGAAACAAACTGACAGTTCAATGCTGAGCACGATTCCTGGTTGAGCTGCTTCACAAGCATCTCTCTCGTGTACTTGTTCGGGATGTTCCGCAACATCACGGTCGTGTAGCCTGCTGAGACCCCGGGCATGGTGTTTTGCTTTAGCTAAGCACAGCAGTGGCAGAGGGTTCAACGAAGCATCCACGCAGGCAAGCACTGTCCAGCAAAGGCGTGCCCTTGGCTCAAACTCATGCTGCCTGAGTCGCCCGGAACGGCTTGCGCGCCTGGGCTGTCTGAACCTGAGATATCACAGGAGACCACACGAGCTGTAGTCAAGGTCAATGTCCCCGTCGTTTACAGATTGCCCGCAAGAGTACTGGTCACGGTGTGCCACAAAGGTTCCTGATGTTTCTTGTGGAAAAGAGTGCTCGCACCCATGATCATCAGCCCCGGGCTGCTGCTGGCAGTAGTGCTACCTGGCAGGCCAATTGCCCACGACCATACAAAACTTCAACGATCCTTCCACGATCGCATGAGCCAGTCGCTTCTTCCTCACGGTGGTCCTATGTTTCGCTGGGATGACGCTACTCTAAGACCTGATACACCATGATACACTGAGGAACTTGGCCTGCTTCTTTGTTTTGGCGGATACAGAGATGCCAAGGGCGGAGAACTTGCACTCGTAAAACAACCAAAGGACAGGAAAACTCCCCCCAAATCGTCTGCACACACCCCTCCCCTTCAGCCTTCTGCTTGCGGCTCCTCTGCTGTGGCCTCTTGCGGCGCCTCCTCCTGTGCACATGTCAGCATGTCAAAGCCTGAGACGTTTCCCCATCTCTCCAATTCGTGGTCCGCAGTATCTCTTGCTCGCACCCAGCCTGCACAGTAGGCACAGGCTCGGAGCGTTCCTCGCGATGCCAACGCCTCAGTAGATGTGAAAGGAAATCCGATGTGAGTTATGCTTACAAGTTCGATGCCTTCAACTTCCCCCCCACGATTCGGTACAAGCTCTTGCAAGCTCTTGTGGCCCGGCGGAGCCTTAGAATTGTAGAGCTCTCCGGAAAACCGAGGGCCGAGGCCAGGACGACCAATCGTCGTTCCAGGATTCTGCCTTTAACTCTGAGAGACAGGGAGGAGAGAGGATACAGAGGATAGAGGGGAGAGAGAGGATAGAGGGGAGAGAGGGGAGAGAGGGGAGAGAGGGGGAGAGAGAGAGGGGAGAGAGGGGGAGAGAGGGGAGAGGGGAGAGAGGGGAGAGAGGGGAGAGAGGGGAGAGAGGGGAGGTATTATTCCATGATGCAAGTACCATGCACAACATCCCAGTCCACCTGTCGCTGTGAACGTCGGGAGCCGCGTGCTCCCTTCCTGCGCTGAGACCATTGCCAGTCATGTGGCCTTCAGCCCCAAGTCGGAAACTTTTTCACTTGACTCAGCTGCAAGGTCTCTGCGAAAGGGCGAACTTGAGAGGCTTCACAAGGTTCTAGGTACATGCTCATTCTCTCCTCCAGCCATAATCCCAGCTGTCCCAGGAATTGGCACCTCCAACTGTGCACCAATGATGCTTTGCAAGTCGCATCACTTGGTTTGGGTCCGATTCAGAGCAATCTCAGGAGGCGGCTGTCGTCCTTCTGACGATGGTCCTCCCAGCCTCGGGATGAAGTGAGAATGAGACATATTGAGACACATTGACAAAGACTGCGAAAGGAACCAGGCAACCGGCCATCTGAGTCTCGCCAGCTCTTGCGGCTGTACCTGGCTCCAGCTGAGTATGGCCACGCCTGCTTACTGTGGACTCTTGCGGTTGCATCTCGACCTCTCGCGCTGTGTTCTTACAGGCATCCGGTTGGAAAGGCCACTTCATTTTGCGACGCCTAGCAGCTTGTTGTTGTAAGCAAATGCGTTGTACGTCTGCGAAGAGCCCTCCAGCCCCCCAACCCCATGTCAGACATGTTGATTGTCCTACTGGTATTGGTTTGGGCTCTTGAATCACCCTGAAGCTTGAAGCCTTCCTTAAGCCTCTTGCTAGCCTACTCTAATCACGTGGTTGTTTTCGAACCATCCATGCTGTGATTCCCCAGGCCTATGATTTTGAGCCCCTTCGACACGCATTTCCTCTCACGACGGTTGGAAACTAACGTCGGCCAGCAGGCAAAGCGCAGGCGAAGCTCACCCTTAAAGGAGGATGACAAAGCATCTGGGGGGCAGCAAAACATGTAGGATCATGTAGGGTTTCTGGGGGT